CTGTTTGGGCATATTTGGAGTCGGTTCGGGAGCGAGTGTGTGGCTGGATCTGCAGTGGCTCTGCCAATTATGGCTTCTGCTGATGCGTAGCCTCAAGCGAAGCTGACTGGGGCCGCAAGAGTCCTTCTGCTCCACAGATTCCTTCCTGTGCCTCAGCTGCTCGCGCTGCCGATGATGAGCAGCCTCAAGCGAAGCTGACTGGGGCCGCAAGGCTGTCGGAGGATTTGCAACGGCAACGGCGTTCTTCTGCAAAAGTGCGCGTTGTGCCGGTTCAGAAGCCCATCCAATGTTCGCCAGGCTGGCAGCCGCGCAAGCCTTTCCATGTCCGCACCAGGTGAGTTAAGCCTCAGATCCATGCAGTAGACTCCTCGCGGTGGTTGCACTGCTGTTTCGGAAGTGGTTTATCATCTGGCCCAGCGGCATTCGCGTAGACGTGCACTTCAATCTTCCCAGACCAGGTCATAGCTGCGCAACTCAAAATGAAGCGAAGCGTGGGTCCACGTGCTTGGCTCTCACAGAGATTACCTGTCTGCTCCAGCGACGATGATATGCCTCAGGTGAGGGTGACAGGATTTGCCGCACCGCTTTCCAAGGGTGGTGTTAGGCGAGCAGGAATCACTCGCTTGACCTTTAACGACTTTTCTCCGCCCCGCCACACGCCGCTGGAGGTTCAGATTGTCAATATGTGAGCAGTTTTGCTTGCCGGCTCAATGGCCGATCCATCTCTGTGGCCGATAAGTTTGTTCACGTTTGTCGCTGTGCTTTTGTGAGAGAGCATTGCAGGTTGCAAAGCCAGCAGGAGGCACTCACGTGACCTGTAACGACCTTTCTGGCCTCGCCATACACTGCTAGAAGCGCATTGTCAAACTGTGAGAGGCAGCTTTGCTTGCCAGCTCAATGTTGTTCGATTCTCCATGCACTCTACAGTGCGTAGACTCTCGAGGTGCAGATTAGCATTGCGGCGGATAAATCTGCGACGGCCGCCAATGATGAGCAGCTTCCAGCGAAGCTGATTGGACCTGCAAGGCTTGCGCGGCATTGACTTCGAGCATGCCATGGGTCGTAAAGCTTGCAGCAGGCACTCACGCGACCTTCAGCAAGCAAATGCTTTTGCAGGCCCTTGCCCTCCTTGAGTTGGGCGCTTGGCTGAGAGGCAGAATTCCACGGCTGCTCTGGCTTAGCGGTCGTGACTGCGCAACTATACATGCAATTGGGGCCATTGCGACCCGCGCTGCGGCTGAGGCTCAATGTTGGCCGATCGGACACACCCTTATTCTGTGTACGTGGACCTCTTGAATTGGGCAGACTTGGAGTAGGTTTGGGACCACATGCTGGCAAGCCAGCGCGTGGCTGGATCTGCAGTGACTCTGCCAATTACGGCTTCTGCTGATGAGCAGCCCCAAGCGAAGCCGACTGGGGCCGCAAGGCTTTCGCAGGAATTGCAACCGCGTTGCTTAGCAAAAGTGCGCATTGCGCCAGTTCAGAAGCCCATCCAACTTTCGCAAGGCTTGACATCCGCGCAAGCCTTTTCATGTCTGCAACAGGTGAATTCGGGGTGGTTTATCATCTGGTCCAGCGGCATGCGCGTAGACGTGCACTTCAATCTTCCCAGACCAGGTCAGCGCCGATGATATGCCTCAGGTTCAGGTGAGGGTGACAGGATTTGCCGCAGCGCTTTTTGAGGGTGGTGTTAGGCGAGCAGGAAGCACTCACGTGACCTGCAAGGACCTTTCTCGGCCCCGCAATAGGCTGATAGAAGCGCATTGTCAAACTGCGAGAGGCAGCTTTGCTTGCCGGCTCATTGCTGGTCGATTCTCCATGCACTCGTACACGTGCCGAGGCCTCTCAAGGTGCAGATTTGGGCGTATGTGGACTCAGCTCGGGCACCCGAGCTGGCAAGCCCCGTGGCGCCTGCTGCCTTCTGCCAGCGCTGGCCGGCTCTCAACATGCAGGGCTCTGCGCGCTAGAAGCTGGGCGCTTGGTTGAGTGGCAGAATTGTGCCAGCGAAGCGCTTTCCGACCCCTGGCAAGGCTGTGTGCCCTCCTTCATTCGCTTGGAACATGTGAGCACTGCTGTCCTCGCAAGATGCAGGGTGCGCGCTAGAAGCCGGGCGCTTGGGCTGTCCTCGCAAGATGCAGGGTGCGCGCTAGAAGCCGGGCGCTTGGTTGAGTGGCAGATTTCCAACACGGCAGCTTTGGCCTGGTGCCCAAAATGGGAGGCCACGGTCATAACTGCGCAACTCAGAATGGAACATGGGTCCATGTGCATGGCTCACAGATGTTACCTGTCTGAATTTCGCAAATTCTAGGCCACGAAATATTGACTTCGGCTCTGGAATGTAGTGGAGTTTCTGACAGGCGAGACTTGTAGACCGAACCCCTCGTTCTCCACGTCCCAACTCAATGGATGCCGCCTGAGTTTCGGTTGCTTCCAGGGCACCCTTTGCACAACTCTCCCGCAGGGTCCAGTGTTGATACAAGTGTGGGCCCTTCAGACCCTGCCCCGGCATAAGTTTCCCGAACACAAAGAAACAACGACGCAACGATGGCAAGCGAACCGCTGCTTGAGCACGGAGGCTAGCCCCATTGTGCATGTGCTGGCCAGAATTTGTTTCTTCCGCCTTGGCCCCCAAGCTGCCTATAATAAGTCCGGTAATTCTACTGAGTTGATTTCTGGAGAGGCTGCGTATGTCTCGGCGAAAATCCGCTCGCAGGCGTCGAACGTGAAGAGCAGGCAGCCCAATAAATGCCAGCCCTAAGGGGCATCCCAGCCTCGTTGCAGAGATGCTGGCAGAATCCCAGAGACATTGCCAAATATTGCCGCGCGAGCACATGCACATGCTAATTGCCGGTAGCATCCCAGACGCATTGATTGGTGTAATTATCTTGACATCATCGGCTCTGCCCCAGCGGCAGCCTCCTTGACGCATCGCGAGGCGGGCGTTGGAGTGCAAAGCGCGGGCAGCCTCGCACATGCGCTGCTGACCTCGAACGCGCGAGGGACTTGCATTTGCAAGTCAATGCATTGTAGCTCTCGTGCAGCCGCATGCCACTGCACTGGTGAACACTGCAGTTGGCACTCGCGGCCCAGGGAACGTGTCTCACCTTGCAGATGGCAGCTTCAGAGAAACAGCGCGCGCGGTCTTGCTTTCCCAATCTTTCCAGCTGTTTTTTGGTCATTGGCCACACTTTTTTGGGTCACGGCAAGCAGCTATGAGTCCCGTGTGTAGCTTCAATGCAGAATGTTTTTTCTTTTCCAGGGTGTACGATACGATTAAAACCCTCGCTTTTGGCGCGGCTGCGTACACAACCCTCATAAACCGCTGCCCCCCCCTTCATTAAAATTGCAAACAGGATATTGGAGGGTCCGCGTCTCAGCCCCAGTCTGGCCAGTCCTCTCCCATCCTTTCCTGTGACCCCTGTGACCCCTGCAATGGACATTGCATGTTTCATTGTCCATGGGCGCCAGTCTCGCAGGTACCCTTGCGAGCTTGTCAAACCTTGAGGTGGCGGAGCGGGGCAGGGTCCTTGAACAATGTTCCATAATAAATTGAGGGTTCTGGCTTGCGCAGGGCAGTGATTGGCCAACGAAAGGGACTGGTGTATCATTCCAATTTTGGCACAGACCCGTATAATTTACCCTCCCACTACATGGCAGCTGACTGGGAATTTTTGGAAGACCATGTTTGTTCATCAAAGTGACTCTTTTCGTGGGTTCCATGTTGGGAGTGTGTGTCCACCAATCTGTTGACCTTATTCTTTCTATGGTTTTGGCCAGACCAGGCAGTGGTACCGAGACAGCTAAAATCAGGGCCCTCAAATCCACAAAGCTCAGCAAGGCAAAGCGCCAGCCACGTATCCAAGTCCCCGGTCGCAAAAGAGCCTACCGACCGAGTGGCCATCTCAATGCGAGAACTTCGGCCTTTTTCGAGATGACACTGCCTTCAGTATCTGGAAGCCCCAGGGGGCGCTCAACGCAGAGATCCAGAATTGCACGTGATCCTCGTAGCCTGTGCTTCGATGTTCTTGGCGTTGTTTTGCTGTTGCTCGGTTGATTCAGTAAGCTTCCTTGTTATCATGTGCTCGTCGGAAGCTCATGGCATGCAAGGAAGCCAGGCCAGCCCCGGCAAGACGATGTGAGTAAAGCACAAGGCAAGCAGCACAGTAGCAGTGACAAACGGACAGACGTGGCAGACAGACAAAGACACAGACAGACGAAGACAGTTAGAAGCAGAGACAGACAGAAGCAGACAGAGACACAGACAGAGACATTCACACAGAGACAGTCACACAGAGATATCCACACAGAGACGGCCAAGCAGAGACAGACACAGACGGACAGCAAGTCAAACAATGGAAACATTTCATGGATCGCCGACGGACAGACCATAAGAGTGACTGGCCGATGCACCAGGAATCAACAAATGGCGACGAACAGGATCGCGAAATGTCAAATCACACGTTTTGTTTGCCCAATGAGTTTCCAAGATAGGTTTGAAGGTCGAGCTTGAGGACACTCAGCGGTTGATTGATGGCTGGCCAAAAAACGCTTGGAGGAATGGCCGTAATGATTTTATGACATTAATCATTAATTATATTAGGGGTCCCAGATCCATGGGGTAAATGGCTCTGGAGTTTCTCTTGTGTAGACCGAGCCCCTCGTTCTCCACGTCCCAACTCAATGGATGCCGCCTGACTTTCGGTTGCTTCCAGGGCACCCTTTGCACAACTCTCCCGCAGGGTCCAGTGTTGATACAAGTGTGGGCCCTTCGGACCCTGCCCCGGCATAAGTTTCCCGAACACAAAGAAACAACGACGCAACGATGGCGAGCGAACCGCTGCTTGAGCACGCAGGCTTGCCCCATTCTGCATGTGCTGGCCAGATTTTTTTTCTTCCGCATTGGTCCCCAAGCTGCCTATAATAAGTCTGGAAACGTTTTGAGACGTTTTGATCTCGGCGATAAATGCCAGCCCTAAGGGCATCCTAGCCTCGTTGCAGAGATGCTGGCAGAATCCCAGAGGCATTGCCAAATATTGCCTCGCGAGCACATGCGCACGCTTGCGGGGCATTGGCCTGGTGAGCCGGCAGCGTCCCAGAGAACGGCAGGCGCGTTCAAGCGCGCAGCAGAGTCCTTGAATGTAATGGATCTCTTGACGCAAAGTAGACGCAGCTCTGCCCCAGCGGCAGCCTCCTTGACGCATCGCGAGGCGGGCGTTGGAGCGCAAAGCACGGGCAGCGTCGCACACGCTATGCTGACCTCGAACACGCAAGGGGCTGGTAGACCGTCGACGCAGTTGCTTTAGCTTGCATGTGCATTTGGCAAAGTCAATGCATTGCTAGCTGCTGCGGTCCTGCGCAGCGGCCGTACGCGCCGCGGCGCAGTGCTGGTGCATACTGCAGTTGGCATTCACGGCCCAGGGTCAGTGACTTGCAGATGGCAGCCTTACAGAAACAGCGCCCGCAGCGCAATCTTTCTTTCCCAATCTTCCGAGCTATTGTTTGTCATTGGCCACACTTTTTTGGGTCACGGCGAGCAGCTATGAGACCGAGCGTGTGTAGCTTCAACACATAATGGTTTTTCTTTTTCCAGAGTGTAAGATACCTCGCTTTTTGCGCGGCTGGGTACACAAGACTCAGCAACCCCTGCCCCCTCAAGGTTGGGATGGTAAACCGGAGCTGGAGGGTCCCCCTCAGCTCTCCCATCCTTTCCTGTGACCCGTGTAGGACTGCAATAAGAAATTAAGTTTAATTGTTTATGGGGCCCAGTCTCGCAGGCGGGGTACCCTTTGCGAGCTTGTCGAACCTTGGGGTGGGGGAGCGGAGCAGGGTCCTTGAACAATGTAGGGCAGTGATTGGCCAACGAAAGGAGCTGGTGTATGTATGTCGGGGTCCCCAATATTGGCACAGACCCTGGGTGAATTTTTACCCTCCCACTAACAACATGGCAGCTGACTGGGAATTTCTGGAATACCATGTTCATCAACGTGGTTCTTTTCATGGGTTACATGTTGGGAGTGTATGTCCTTATTCTTATTCTTTCCATGCCAGACCAGGCAGTGAGCCTACCGACTGAGTGGCCATCTCAATGCGCCAACTTCGGCCTTTTCGAGATGACACTGCCTGCAGTATCTGGAAACCCCAGGCGTGCGGGGGTGCGCTCAACGCAGAGACCAGGGTTGCACGTGATCCTCGTAGCCCGTGCTTGGATGTTATAGAAAAATCAGTTCGTTTGATGTCTTGCTTTTTGTTTCTAGCCAACGAAAAGGTACCGGGTCTTTACCCACCCGCGTGTCCGAGTGGCCCAGCACACCCGCTCACGCTCACGCAGAGCTACACACACGCTGTCGCATGATAAGCACACCCGCTCACGCGCACAAGCACACCCGATCAGGATTTTGTTGCAGGGCGTAAACCAAGGTTGAAACATACTTCTTGCTTATGACGCATGTATAGTGAAACATGTATATTCAAAGGCTTGATGCGCAAAAGGTAGGTCATTCGGGGAGGGCCAACACAGTGCATTTATATATATTTTTATGTATACATATGTGTACAGATACTTTGACGCCTCCGGCTCAGGCTGCCAACATTGCGGGCCCGCTTTCTTATTTGTGTCTTTTTGGGTTTGACCCATTGGAAGTTGTCCTTTGGATGTTTCCTATCACCATAGGAATTATTGCATTGGACTTCTCCCTTGACCTTTTCTCCCGGCAAGATCTCGTCCCCTCTTCCACCCTAAGATCTTTGCCCCCCTTCCCCCCCTCCCTCTAAGATGTTCCCCCCCCCTGCCCCCCTTATTAAGATCTGCTCCCCTCGCACCCCCTAAGATCTTTTCCCCCCTTTCACCCGCTAAGATCCTTTCCCCCCTTTCCCCTAAGGCCTGTTCCCCCCTTTCCTTCCCCCCCCTTCCTCTAAAGACCTTCCCCCTTCCCCCCCCCCCTTATAATATCTTTTGCCCCCTTTCACCCACGAAGATTGTTTCCCCCCCCTCCCCCAAGATTTCACCCCCTGAGATCGTTTCCCGCCTTTTCCACCCCTAAATTCTGTTGCACCCATCTTTTCCATTCTTTCCCCCTCTCCCCCTCTCCCACCCGCTTGTACTTTTCCACCCTTTCCCCTCCTTAGATCTCCCCCCCTTTAGGATCATGTCCCCTCTTTCACCAAACTTCCCCCCCCTCAAACCTGGATGATACAGGCGACGCCAGCGATGTTGCTACGGAGATGCTAAGGATGGAATCGATCACCCCAATGGTTTTACGCAACTGTGTCCCGCACAGCCTCCCAAAAAAGGATTTGGTGGAACGTGGCCGCCGCCGCCCCCCTGAAACCGGGGTTCTGGGGAGGGGTTTTTAAGGGGAACACGCCGTCTGTTGTCGGAGGATGTATACATAGACATGAATATAGAAGTACTTTGACGTTTGCTTCACGTTTTGCACACGGGGCCCGCATCTTGGTTCTCAAGCAAAATCACTAGGCCGACCTCCGGCGCTTCATCGCCATGCTGCCACCAAAGTCGCATGACAATTCGCTCACAAGTCGCCAGAACCTAAGGCTCAGGAGCAGGCGTCAGGCCTTTTGCTGAACCAGCTGGCAGCTGAAATCATAGCTCGCAATTTGCCAGGGACGCGGACTTCAATGGAACAAGATGTGGCTGCCGCACCTGAAGGAGAAGCGCTGTCCCACCAGGGGCAATCCAAGAACGAGTGCCGACTGCGGCGGGAACTTGGCGCCGCTGAGGCACATCCGATGATTCAATGAATGAATGGTTCACACACACACACACCGTGAATCAAGACGACAATTTAGAGGTAAGCCTTTTTTTGCCAGGCATTGCCGAAAGCTGGCACGCACAGGCTGATGCAAATCACGCCTCTCCAGCGTTGCAGCAAGGACGCAGTGCAGATTGAGCCTTTTGGGACCCATGTCGACGCAAAACACGCGATGTGGGGTTCAACCCACATCGCAGCAGGGGAGTCCAACAACAACAGCTTTGCCAAAAGCGATTGTTCCTCTGGTTGCTTGCAATCAGTTTATGCCGATGTTCCTCTCATAGCCGATTTTTGGGCTGATTTAGTAGTCGAGGGGCATGCCTGCAAATAATTTGCTTCAAAAGTCCACCCCCACCCTAGGTTTTTTTCACGTTTTCAATGCACAAACAACTTCACCCCCCTCGGGCAGAACTTATTTTTAAACTAAATCAAAGCAGGCTCTACAATATGTTCTTTTCATCTCCCAAAAATCAAACGAACATACCAACACGATTTTTCTACATCATTGTTCCATGTTTTTTCGCCATCCTTTGTCCTTCCTCCTCGCCTCATTCATTTCACCAACTACCCTTCAAAATGTCATTTCCTCAATCTCCTCGCCTCATCCATTTCAAAAAAAAATCAAATTTGCAGAAAATATATTGCAACACATATTTGCCTTAAAAAAATCGAGCTGTCTAAGAACGATTTGTCCATTTCTCGGACAAAAAATAGAAAAGCAACAGCATCACCCTCCTCCTTCGTTTCATCACTTTCATCATATATTTTAATAGGCGTGGTGTCCCTTGTAGGATGTTATCTTCAATATATAAAACGCTATACTTACATTATAATTATCACATATAAGGGTATAAATGTTATTATTGTAGTATGATTATAATTTCAGTTCCGGATAATAATTTAATTGATACATCTTACTTCTTTCATGCATCATTTTAAAAATAATGTTAATATCTCTTACTGTATTTTTGACATTACACTTTTTACTTTCAATATATGATTTAATGTCTTCTTTCAAATCAAACACCATCCTTCTATGATAAATCAACATCCATAATTTGTATTTAATCATTTCATTCTTTTCTTACTGATTTTAAAAAATGATCTAACATAATCATAAGGTGGTCTATCATACACAGTTAAAATATCAAGATTTCATAAGGATCCTTTGTGGCTGGTTTGTGTGTGGATGGCTGATGTTGGGCGGAGCTAGCTCTTGTTGCCTATGAATGCACTAGCGTGTGCAAGACATGAACGGCCAGTCGCCACCACTTTGGTTCAGTTTGCGGGACGCGCATGCAAGCACAAGTGGATCCGAGCTCGATCACGTGTTTTTTGTTTGGTTTGTTTGACTTTCGGGAATTTTCCGGATTCCCATTGTGACCTCTCTCGACATCAGACATCTGAAGCCTCGCTGATGTTGGAACATAATCCTTGAGAACGAGTTGGAGGTGCAGGCTGAGAGTAAGGGCGTGTCTTCGATGCATGGTTAGAAGAGTAGGCTCACTGTTTCGGGTAAAGATTAGTTGTTTGGGCTGTTTCCCCGTTTTTTGCAATTCTTGTGAAGCCGCCCATGCCTTAGGGATGACCCATTTCCCGGTGGGTTCAAGTCGTAATTCTCACGGCCTCCGTCCGCATGCGGCTTCAACTTCCCGTTGGCTTCTGATGTCGTAGAGATTCGCACGTGGCACAGACCACGCTCAAAGAAGTGAACAAATCCTGGTTTGAAGCTCAAGACAGGGTTCCTTTGCTTACCCCTTTAGCACCCAAGCAAGGTCACCACACATCGAAGAAGACACCGTCACCCAAAGTCATCGCACATCGGCCACACAAGTCATTGCAACAAGAAACCCACAACCCACTTGATTCTTCTGGCAACTTTGAGGGCAACTTTAAGGGCAACTTAAGGGCTTAGGGCGGAGCAAACCTCCGGCAGCTCTCTGAAGACTAAAACATCTCTCCGTCATGGCGCACCTATGGGAGCCCTTGACGGAGGAGCCGGAGCGAGATCCGACAGCCTTTCTTCCGGGCCGGGCGGGCGTATGTTGACTAGGTCCCCCAGTACTGCCCTGTCTTATCCCTTTTTTGGGGGAGGGTTCCCCTACTAAAATAGGCTACAGAAAAAAGGTACCCTTATTCCAGCCTCTCTGGAGGACCTAGTTGAACAAGACAAATGATTGAGTATATTATTTCGGGGTTAAATATGTGTGGGGTTTGCGTTAGGCTTTTTTTTCCATAGTGAATGCCTGCTTGAGTCGGGGGTCGACACCTAAGCCTGCAGAAATAGGTGTTGGTTGTTGGGCAAAAGTTCTACCAGCACCTTCCAGGCAGAAGTGTACCCAAAGCAAGAGCTAAAAGACATGAATCGGGTCTCTGCTCGGCTCATTTTTTGGGGACCTTTCGGGGGGTCCGGGGCTGGAGACAGCACCTGAGCATATTTTTGTTTGGTGTTTGTGTGCGTGTGAGTGAAAGTTGAGACTTTTGTCGGTATTTTATTTGGGGCCAGGGGTGAACATGGGTTGGTTTCCTTTCGT